TCTAGTTTTTACGCAAAATGCGAAAATTGAAAATTAGCGCCGATCGCTAAAACCGCCCCTAGCCTTTGGCCCATATTTAGCCAACCGGTTGTGCTATAAAGCTCCAGTTGCCATTGCCATACATCGTAAAAATACCCACTTTTTACGGTAAATGAACAACTTGCCTGTTCGTTTCTCCGCATCCCTAAAGGTAATCTCTTCAAGAACAACGCCGTTGCTTTTGCCCTTAGAGTTGACTGCAAACACCACCATCCTGAAGATAACGTCGGTTTCCAGATTATCCAGGAAAAAATACGGTTCAGCAAAAGCGGTAACATTGTAGCGCGGAATTAGCGAATTTTCGGTATAGAGTTCCAGCAGGAAATGCTGCGGTAAACCACCATCAAAACCCGGCAGACAGTAGATTTCCACTGAGCTGCTCGTTTGGTTCGTCAGAGTGCAATTTTTCACTGCGAGTGGCTTTCCTTGAAAATTAAACAAATACTCAATTGAGGTGCAGATATTAAAACTCGCTCATGCATGCATTTGCTGGATCGATAGCGGATCGGGGCCTTTGCAAATGTTGATTTTTTTGGATGGATGTTTTCGCTATTGGGTTTTTCTGGATTTCCTGCCAACCCGGAGGGAGTTTATCGCATTTAAACTCACCAGCGGCAACTAATTGAAAAACGCAGGGATTAACTTGGGTTCCCACGTCGTTTGCTGCCCAGCAGGACAAAGAACCGTAATCCAGCTCTGCTATTGGCGTATATTTCAGGATGCTAAGGGTGCCGTTGCTGCTTGCGAACCGTTCCGCTTCCATGTCGATAGTTTCTCCGGAATTATTGAATTTCCATTTGTAACTCTGCAAAAGTGGTCTTATTTTAGAGGTTGGTGTGTGAGTGCTCGAAATGAGAATCCAGTTAGATCGACTGGAAAATCATGCAAACGAAATGTGGGCAATTTCCGGCAAAAAAACTAAGTGGCAGGAGAGCTTGTTAGAATTCTTGCACGATTCGGTTCAGTCGGCAACAGCGCATTTTGCCGATTTTTTCCTGCCCTTTACATGCAAGCAAATCAAAGTCAACTGGATACCTTTGCTGGTGGATCAGACTCAATTTGGCAAATCACATCGATGGTTTCACCGCGCGAAGCTCCAACCACCATAATCTTATCATTTTTGCATGTGGGAGCGTCTGAAACATACAATCATCTAAACTCTCACTAACTACTTCACCCGGAAATATTCGGGAAAAACTGCAGGATTTCCAGTTGTTTTTTCCCAGCATGATCGCAATGTTGAACATCTTCTCTCCCTCTGCATTTGCATTCTAAATTGATTTTTAACGAAGTTTTAACCAGTCGGTCTCTATTGTCGTTTCAGTCAACTTCCTTCTGGCTTGTTGCACCGCATTGTCGCAGCGCAATATTAAATAAACATAACCAGAGCCAGAAATGCAATTTAAAACTTTTGAAAGGTTTAAGTGCCAGTTTAGTGGCTTTATGGTTCTTTCCGAAACTCATTTGCATATTAAATAGAGCCTTTCTCTTTCGCGTGGCGGCGCAAAGAAAATCCGGAAAAATCATGTTTATAAACCGAATTAGAACTAGAAATTAGGAAAAAGTTGGGTAAATTCACCCCAATTAACATCGGCAGACAAAACCTGATGGAACCACTTACATTGCACTCTAAAGTGTAGCTCATTGCTGACGGTTTCTCCTTCGGAATTGACCACCGAGCATCTGTAAATGCCTGCACTTTGTTTAGTCACTTTCTGCAAGACCAGACTCTGGTTGCTGTGAATGATCCGGCTGGACATGTTGTGAAGCAATACGATGTCCTGAAAATAGAGAAAATATCTGAATTATCTACAATGCAGAGCCAAATGCCCAAAAGTTGCCAACATTTAAACCAACAATTAAATTCACTAATGAAAAAGAACAAAATCACCAAATTCCTTTTCTCGATATACTAATTCAGAAAAATTTAGACAATTTCGAAACCTTGGTCTATAGAAAACATAACTAACGCCGGACTTGAAAATCGCT